CCCCTCATACATAGACGTACATATATTATACATAGGATTGGAGACCAATCTCTCTACCTGACATACAAATTTACACCTAGAGCGAGGTTTTTTACTCTTGCCTTACTCTGTTGAACAAAAAAAGATGAATGGTCGACTTTTGGGTAATTTTCTCCTTACTCCTGATCTTTGAGCTCTAAGTATAAAAAGAAGAGCACATACATAAAATAGGAAAATGCGTACAAACTTATCAAAACTTTTCTTTAAAAAATTTAACTTTTCCTTAACCCTCATGTAACTAAAGCACATAACCCTAGTTACTAATTCACCTCCCTATTAATTAATTAAAATAAAACATTTAACTAAAACCTTTAATAAAAATCTTATATTATATTCTAAAATATATTAAATAATTAAAATAAATATTAAACAACTATTATTAATTAAAATAAAAATACCAAAATTATTAATTAAACACTTATATTATATTTTGTGAAAAACATGGTGTTACATATAACCCAAACCCCCAAACAACTAAAAACCAAACAACATATTCAACCAATTATATAGAAACCAAGTACACAACTAAGAAGACCAACATGAATGATAAGGAAAACACTTGCCAATAGGGATGGTGTGGTAGCGACATGATAATGGGACAGAGGATGCGAGAGAGTGTGAATGAGAGCACAAGAGAGAGCGTCAGAGACAGTTATATAGTGATGGACCTAGAAAATAGTGGTGGAACGATGAGAAAAGGGAGAGTGCAAAAGAAAAAGAAAGTTTTGTGAAAAAAAGAGAACAAAGTGAGAAGGTGAAGTATGGTATCATTTTTATAACGTTTCTAAATCGATTGTTATAAAATTGATTGAGAAAAAACCTTTTAAAATTGGTTATTTAAACAATCGATTTTAAAATTAGTTTTTCTAAATTGATTGCATAATAATTTTAAAAAGATTATGACAAGAGCTTTTAAATTTAGTTGTTATATAACTAAATTTAAAATAAATAGGATTTTTAAATCAATTATCCTATAACTGATTTTAAAAGAGGTGTTCTAAAATTGATTGTATAACAACCAATTTTAAAAGTGATTTATTTAATTTTAATTATTTTATTGTGTGAAATTCAAAATCGATTACAAGTAACCAATTTTAAACTTTTGATGTTAAAACTGCTTTTTGCACTCATGATTTTGTAAATACTTAACTAAAAAAATTATCATTGTTTTATATACTCAAGTCATCTTGAGTGGATGATCTCCATTATACATCCTATATTAAATTTTTTTCTAACTTTAATTTTATAGTGAGCGTTTAGAAATCCTAAGTGATTTGTAATTTCCATATGCTTACTCTAATGAGTTAAACACTTGTAAACTTTTAACCTTTATGTGTTAATAAGTCTGAAGGTGCTTGTTAGAAAAAAAATACTTGTAAGCTAAGTACAATGTTACAATCGACAATTTGTAGCCCTTAGAGATTGAGAATATTTAATTTGTACTCAATGATTGAGTGAATTGTTTTAATGAATGAAATGATTAGACATAACTCTTAAGTAAAGAGTAAACTAATATAAATTTTTGTGTGTTTTTTCTTTTCCTTTTTCTTTAATTTTTATATCTGTTGTTCATTCATTTTATATAACTAACCTACTTTTTTAAAAAGTCTCAAGTAAAAATTTTTAAACACATAATTCAACTTTTTTTCTTATATATTATTTATGTATTTCGTTCATTACCTATGGTTCCAATCCCATAAAGAATCAAACTCTGCTAAATCTCGAGATAAACATCAATTAACATAAACTTCTATAAGCTATAAGAATATTTTCCATGTTTATTTGATGTTTTAATTTGTTCAAGCTATAATTCCACAATGGGATTAAATAAGAAAGGTACCGTGTAGTATGCCTTCTTGAAGAATAGCTCCATAGAAAAATTAAACTAATTATAACAACCTAATGATCAGATTCTCATAGAATAATCATGTTAAGAAAGACAGTTTGAAGATTTAGGTATAGATAGACGGAAAAAACATATAGTTAACGCTTAACATCAATCAAATATAGAAATAAAACCTTTTTTCTCCAAATTTATGGTAGACGTAAATGCTTCTTTCTTATGTAATCATTGTCAAAGAAATATTTTGTATCCATAACTTTGTCTTCAAAATATTCACTAAAAATATTAATTAGTTTTTAGATTAGTTGTAGAAGAAGTCGATAAACACTCTATACCTAGGTTCAACTAAAACTAATTACTCCAGGAGACTGTGAATACTTCGACTAAATCATTTTTTATTATCACCCTGGGCGCAAGTTACTCAAATACTGGTAAAGCAAATTTGGTGTAGAGTTCCTATAAGGAATATTCAAAGAATAAAGAAAAAATAATACTAACTCGAGACACATGCATCTCAGTTAAATTCTAGATGTATTTATCTTTTTGAGAAATATTAATAATATGTTTTCTAATTTTTTTTTTTCCGTAAACGTATTTATTAGATGAAATTTATGTGTTGATAGGTCTCATTCTCAAATTAATAAACCTCATATGAAATCCAAAAAATAAAAAATATACTTAAAAAGAAAATATTATATTCCTACCACGTACCCTTCTTCAACCTTAAGTTCTCAAAAACTACATCTTATCCCGCTAACATAATAGATAAATCTGGTTTAATTATTATTTATTACTTGTAGCTACTTCAATCCATCCCCTGTGACAAGCACCAATTAAAGCATCTCAACAATTTTATACTTTGTTTGGGAGAGAGACAAAAAGAAGATAATAAAAGACAACAGGTAGTAATTGATCTGATAAAAAATAGAATAGAATAAAATTTGTAGTTATTTAATTAATAAAGTAAAATTAGGTGAGAAATAGAGTAAAATTAGTATTTATAATTATTATTTTACTTTCACTTTATAATATAATTTAAATTATTTTTTTATATATGATATTTTACATGTTTTTAATACCTTACAAGAATCTTCTCAATAAAGAGAGTATAAAAAATAATGTGAAATTTATTTCTATTTTTTTTTTTATAATTTTCCTTAAATACATTCCATCGAATACAAATACTTTTCTTTTTTCCTTTCAAATTCTTTCCCACCTTGTTAAATCACTCCACAAACATAAGCTTAGAATAATTCTTGAGTCAAGTAATATAATTGACTCTCAATTATCTTCATGAGCGGATTTCCAACAATACCCAAATTAACATACTCCAGTTCTATACTCTGGTTGGTGATGATTCAGACCAAAATTCAATTCATCATTTATGCACTTCCATTATGTATAAACCTATTAATCTGAATCAAAAATAATTATAAATCTATGGGTGGACGAGCGAAGAAGGTAGTTTCACCTTTTTGTCGGGATAGTACAAATTTTTGACCACCCGTTTGCTATGCCAGTCTGACTACATGCAACCTTACATGAACAAGCGTCCTACAAGTAGTTATTGGAGTAACATTTAATTTTTATTCTTATATATATCCCAAGCGTGTGATTCAGTTGTAGGGATTGACCTATACTTAAACAAGGTCAGGGATTCGAATCCTGCATTGTGTATGCAGCCGCGTTAAATCTTGGGGCCAGCTATTCCACCCTTTGAGGTGCCTCCAACCTAGTGAGAAGATTAGTCACTACTATCAGGACGAACAAAAAAAAATACACTTTATAGTTCCTAACAAACAATATTATAACGAAATATGACATAATAATGATAACATTATTAAACCAGAACCGTTGTTTTATAAAAGAAAAATTGATTAAAATGAGTGATATATATATATATATATAAAAATGTTCGTCACAGCATATTCCTATGAAATAACATTATTGTCTTTATTATTTTTAAAAATGTAATTAAAATAGTTTTAAATTTGTATTTAGTAATTTCATTTCAAATATGACGCATGCATGTATATATATATATATATAACAAAATTATGTTAAAAAACATGTAAGTACTCCTTTTCCTATATATGTCATAAAAATATGCATTGTTTCTATTCTGGAGTATAAATTAACTTACCTATTCATCAATTATTCAAACTTACTAACTTGTTAAATATTTAATTGATTAATTTATAAACTCAAACTTCATTTTAAGTTTTGATTATATGAATCAAATTTAAAATTTATAGAATATACACTAAAAACTTGTAAATAATCCACTAATATATAAAGCTAAAAATATTTTTTAAAAAGTTGTAAATTAAATAAAAAAAATTCGTGAGTTTTATATTTAATTTTATTATTTCTTATTTTTACTTTTTTTTTAATATGAAATGTATGTTTTGTATCATATGAATAAATTTAAAGTTTAAAATATATTTGATAAATATAAATAAAAATAAAAAAATTGGGCCCTTCTCCAAAAGGCATGGGCCCACATAAAAGTCAAAAGTCAATGCGTTTACATGATACTATTAAGCCTAATATTTGGTTTAAGACCAGAACGATATACATAAGGGATTGGGAACCTTTTGAACTAACATCAACTCCAATATAATCACAAAACCACTCTACTAAGCAATACATAACCAAAATTGCAAAATACAGCCTAGATTTATTTCTCACGTCTCATCGTGTAATAATCATTATCATATAAGTATCAACTATATATTTTTTTATTTCTACATTTCTATTCTCTTATGCAAACGCTAACTTGAATTCTACAAATAAACCATTGAAATGTAGAATAGAACGAAAAATCATTTCAATTAATATTCCTCTCATTTTAGATAAGAAGAGTAGAATACAAATTAAAATTAATCAAAAAAACTAGATTCACTTTTTTTTTTTCCAACCATATAAAATCAAACTCAAATTTTACTTCAAATTTAATCATTGAACCAAATAAATTAAATTTAAATTATTAGAGTCGAGTATGTACTGGATTTTAAATTTAAACCTAAATGTTATTGTTATAATTAGAATGAACAAAAGAAAAGGCAAACCTAATCCGGATATTTTGTTGGGAAAGAAAGTTTGAAGTATAAGTAAGCAGTTAATAGTTAATAGTCCTAGAGTTATTAACAACAGAAGTGGGAGGGAAAGCACAGAAGAAAAGAGAGTATTAGAGAGGAATTCCCAAAAATACCCTTACCCGTTCCTCAAAATCTCCTCCCGCAAGTGCCAATAGCGTCCCCAACACACACTCTCTCTCTTTCTTTCTCTCTCCCCGCGATGGAGAAAGGCGAGAGCTCCGCCTCCACGTCGGAGCCAGACTCCGACGAGAGCCGCCACCCGACGGCCCACCACCTCACCCCGCCCGCCGGCCTCACCCCGGACGAGTTCGTCTCGCTCGTCCCCTCCGTCATGGAGCACCACACCTACCTCATGGGCCCCGGCCAATGCTCCTCCCTCCTGGCGCAGCGCGTCCACGCGCCGCCCGACGCCGTCTGGTCCGTGGTCCGCCGCTTCGACAAGCCACAGGCCTACAAGCACTTCATCAAGAGCTGCGCCGTCAAACACCCCTTCCACATGGCCGTCGGCTGCACCCGCGACGTCAATGTCATCTCCGGCCTTCCCGCCGCCACCAGCACCGAGCGCCTCGACCTCCTCGACGACCTCCGCCGTGTCACCGGCTTCAGCATCATCGGCGGAGAACACCGCCTCCGGAATTACCGCTCCGTCACCACCGTCCACTCCTTCCACCACCACGACGACGACGACGACGATAAGATCTACACCGTCGTCCTGGAGTCCTACATCGTCGACGTCCCCGACGGGAACACCGAGGAGGACACGCGTCTCTTCGCGGACACCGTCGTCAAGCTCAACCTCCAGAAGCTCGCCTCCGTCACCGAAGGAACCAACCGCGACGGTGACGCTAAGCCGCACGTGCGGTGAACCACCACTCCACAAAATAAAAGAAAAAATATTCAAAATTTGGAATTTGAAACAATCGCTCCGCCCCCAACGAATTCATAAAAGGAGAAAAACAAGTTTTATTTTCTTTGTTCCTTTTTTTTTTTTTTCTTGAAATTCATTTTGTTTTCTTTTTTCGGGTGAGAGTGTTTGTTTAGCATGTCCTCCTTGGTCGTGGTGGATGCACCGTTGAATTTTGTCATTACAATGGGTGAGGGCAAATCGGTCAATGCACGTGTACAGGAAATGTTGACTTGTGATGTTCATCGTCTTTTTAACTGTTCTGTGAATATCATTTCCCTTTTTTTGCTTTTCCTCCTCTCGATTTTATTCCATATCTTTTCCTTTTTCTCCCAACAAGATGCTTCCTTCTCCTTCTCTAGATTAATTGCATATAATTTCCAAGAATCAAATAATCTCTTAGATTATTAAAATTTTCTAGCTAGGAAGATTAATTCTAGAAATAACTATACCCGCACTTGATAGTTGCATCCTATTTCAATCATCAAAGTTTTTAACCTGATGTTTTCACTAAACTTTACTTTGCATGTCTGTATGGTGTGCTCGATTTATGATCTGGAGGCTGAGAAATGGAAATGGGAATAAAAAATAAGGTAGAGCATAGTCATTAGAGTCTCTTTCCCTCCCACAATCCAAGGTGTCACGAATGGTAGAATCAATTCTTTTTGTCTTTTACATTCAACACCATCTTCGTCCTATCATTCCAACACAACATTAATTAGAGCTCCTTTGGTTGATGGGAATAAAATAAATTAAATTAAATTTTACGTAAGTTGTTGCTTTGTTAGTGGCTAACTAGTTGAAATAAAAACAAGACTTAAATGTAATTTGAGTAAAATAGTCCTTGAAAGTAGTGCAACCACTTTAGTTTATGAAAAAAAGAAAATTTAAAAAAAAAAAAAAGTTTTTAAAGGTTTTACTTGTTTTAATTAATCACTTATGGTGATTTAAGCCTCTAAAATATATTAATATTAATATTTAAGTCACATATTTTTTTTTAAAAAATTAAACTAAAATGAGTAATGTTGTATAATTTTAGATTTTTTTTTTTTTTTATACTTTTAGAAATTAAACTATCAGCAATATACACTTTCAGGAACTTATTTGAATAGCGTTTCATCGATGTAATTTTTGTTTTTATGATTTTAATTAAGTAATTTAGTTTCCAAATTTTATTGGATATTAGATGATATCAATCATCTGTTACTTTATTGACGGGTTGACAGAAGTTAAAAAAACATTAACTTTTGTATAAAACTATTCTAAGAATGAGCAACAATGTGTGTAAGGGAAGTGAAAAGGCTCACAAATTGTCAAATTCTATAATGGAATGGATTTTATTTATTTTTTAAAGAACATATTGGTATGTCAACTGTTTCCATGTCAACCATTGATTAAACATCAAGCTATTAATTTAGTAAAAGATGGCCCATGTGTGTAAATTCTATGTGAGGCTTAATTATGAAAGAATCTAATTTTGACATATAATAACATTCTCGCTCGATTAGAAACATGGGTATCAAATTAAACTGCACAAATATAAAAATAAAGGGATCAAAGCTATATTTAAACTCAAAAGTAGAATGGAATAAAACATGATTTTATTTTATTTTATTATTCTCAATTTTCAAAATATGGGTATCATAGCATTGTTGATTTTTGTCTACTTCTCTAATTTTTACTTTACTGACAATCATCTTCCATTTTGTTTTAATTTCAATATCATCAAATATCGAAAGACAACTTGGGAGTTGTGTTGGATATTTACGAATAGAAATCAACATTAAGAGATGATTATAAAATTTTAAAATCTCTAGCCTTGGTTAGTATCATGATTAAAAAAAATAATTTGATTAATCTATACTGGAAAAATTATTAAGTAGTAGTTCATAATTGCTATGTGTTTATAATATGATTAATATATAGTAGTGATATGTATTCAAGTTTTTTAATTTAACAAAAATCTCAATGTCTATACTTTGCTACGTGTTTAGACCGCCTTACATTTTCTCCTATCGAGAATCTGATCCATTTACCATTTCCAATTATAGGGTAACTTCAGTATTTGTTAAATCCTAAGTTGTTTTTATTGAGACAGTGTGTGTTGGGTGAGCTTTACAAGTTCCGACATGAGTTATGTCTATTTCGATCCTATCTAATTTCACATTAAAGTGAAATAAGTAAAATTAATTTTAATCCTTTAACAAAAAGATCATATACAAAATTAATTCAACAAAGTTCAAACTCACTCTAAACTGCAAAATTGAATATATAAACAATTTAATGAATTTACCTCATCATTTAAATTTATACAACTTCTCTTATCAGTGCACGTCTTAACATTTCATAATCTTTAAACGAAATGAAAAATATGAGTTTTTATATATAAGTATTTATAATATAAAATATGTGTATTTTAATTAAAGTTCAATATATCATTTAGTCTTTGAATTTTTTTGAAAAATTTTAATTAAATTTTTAAGCTAAAAAAATTATAATAAGATATTTTTATCTTTTTTATATTTTTATAATTTAATACTAAGAATAAAGATTCGTTTGTCATCTGCGAAATTTGATAGAATATTTTTTATATTCTCATACTTAAATAATTATATTGTATTATTATTTTATGTCATCATCTATGTGTATTAAGTTTTATTCTCTGTATGTTAAATATTTTTACTATTCTATAATTTATATGATTAAAGAGATTACAATAATTTTTACAAATAGATTAAAACATGTTACATATGGATGGTGCTATATATAATAGTGTACTATCCGTACCGCTATGCCGAGCTCGAACTCAGTATCACAGCGCAGGACGACCTTGGACATGCGCTGGGAGATCTCGGTCTAGACGAGATCTACTATCTAATCAGATCATAACCGATCTCAGGCCCAAGGCCAAACGAAACCCTAATTCACACCAAAGTACGTGCATTACTTATACGAGACTCATACTCATACAAACCCTAATTTTAGCATCGGGGTCTCTTTTACAGGTACCACCCCCATCTTGGAACATCAACGTACCAGTGAAGGAGGCACACCGATCTTACCCAGCAGATCGTCCCTACCACCGATCTCCGGTAAGAACAAATATTAATTTGATAATGACTATGTATGTATAATGTAAAAAATATTATGTCATAGTTTACAATTTGTAAACAAAATTTTAAACCTATGGATTAAATTACAAAAAATATAAAAAGTTAAAAGAATTAATTTGTAAAAAATAATATTTTAGTTTTAATATAATATAAAATTATAACATAATAATATTTGTTTTAAAAAAAATTGATCCTCTTATACATGGATCCTAAGTGATTGCACCTCGAAACAACTCTAGAACCGGCTTTGTCTCTTACGGTACAAGAGAGATAAAAAGAAAAAGGGAGAAATGTAATAAAATGAATAATGTGATACAAATAAATTAAAAAAATCAATTATATAAACTATCTTTTAAAAAAATTAAATACTATAACTCAATAATTTAGATTATTCCCTCTCCTCTCTCTTTTCTAACATTGGTATCGCATTAGGTTGCTGTCTTGTTGACATGGCAATATGACCATTATTTAATTTCAACAGAGAAACTGTATTTGTACAACTTTTGTAAACATATTGTATAATTCAATTTCAAAATACGAGACTAAGTCTTATATTTAGGAAAAAAATTGGTGCGAGAGGTGAGACTTTCGACTCTATAACTTTTGTGACGTGATCCAATATTCTTATGAAAATGAAGAATATAACTCTTAATGAAATATACAATTGTCCTGATAAATGCTACTGTCATCAATCTCTTAATGTTCAAGACTCGCGAGAATTGGACCCAAATCATTTTATATATAAAAAACAATTGTTACTAATATATATTTTTAGCACATTTTCTTTTAAAAAAAAATAAGGTTATTAAATTAAAATTATTAAAACTCGTAAAATTTACTTTTATTTAATGATTTCTATTCATAATTTTATAATTTTTAATAAATTTTAGGAATATATAATAAATTAGAAATTAATCCGACCATTCATTTTTAATAAGATCCCTTTTTTTAATTATATTTTTTTATAAAAAAAAAAATTCAACTCGAGACTTTAATTAAGGAGATGGAATGTTACTAAACAACTTATGGGTAGATTAATCAAATTATAAACATGGGATTAATAATTTCTAATATAGCTGCAATGTTAAGCAGATTCTGGAACCCATGAGAAGGTGAATAAGCACCTAGAAGGCAGGTTTCACAGTGCTTCCTTTTGTTTCTCACATAAGTGGGTGGGTAGTGAGAAAAATTGAGAATAAATTGTGTCAGAATTAATGGAGCATCTTTCTCTGAATTGCAGTGCATGCAGAAAAGGGGAATTTCTATGGAAGCTAAAAAATTGAGGACCCGTTTTCTGCCAAGTTTTTGTAGCGTTGCTTCCACTTCCAGGTTCGGTTAAAAGGTGGCTCTTGGTATCCGATTAAGGGCATTAGCAATAATCCAAATGTTCTAGTTAGTTGCATGCTTCTTAACCGTTCGTTCACAATGCTAGGGCCCCATTGACATGGTTTACCTGTTAGGTCTGGTCGCTGTTATAATGATATTGATGCCTCGTTCAATGTGTTGCATGCTACCAGAGGTATATTTATGTGGTGGGCCTTCTTTTTTTCTTTCTTTCTTTTTTTCCAATCTATGCAGGGTTTTAATTTCCTGTATCTCTAGAGCTGGCAATATAGGGTTTTCAAATTTTCATGATTATATTAATATATTTATTATTATATATATATACAGTTATACACACATACATACATACGAGTATTGTTTAGGCACTTTTAGGTTGTCACTATTCAGGGATACTCATACTGTCAACGTCTCCATGTTAGGTTACTGATTTTCCAGATTGGAACGTATCAAAATGGATTTGGTAGGCAACACATTATATATATAAATGACATGGACAATCGGTTGGTTGCGCTTAAACTCACTCAATTAATTGTGGGCTATGCATGATGGCATATATAAGTGAAAATGAATGAATAAATCATATGATAAGTCAAACTATTTTAGTTGAGATTTTCGTTATATATTTATGGATCATATGATTTTGAGCAATGGAACACCACGAATTGAGCAAGGATACGCATTCATGATAATTAAATTCATTTCACTTTTACAACCTCCGACCTTTTTGTTATTTTAATTAGTATCACTTTGTTTCTTTGCTTTATACCTAAAAGAATTCAGAATTAAGTTCTGTTTAATAATTAATATATAAGGGTAGACCTCGATGCTATATTACATA